TTTTGAAAGTAACTCACTAAAATCTCATAATATGCATAGAAAAAGATGCCCATAGCAAAACAGTTACCCCTTTTTTCAATTTTATACTTGCTTTGTACTATTACTAATGCTTTCACAGTTGTCAATACTTGATTTACACTATTGGTAAACCTTTTAGTTTTAGAAACTTGGCTTATAGCAGACCTTTTAGTTTAAACTATTTGAATTATACTATTAGAAACACTTATATTATTTTAGAAACTTCACTTAGTAATTGTTTTACAGTGTTAGATATCTGATTTACACTATTAGTAGCCTTTTCACAGTTTTAGATACTTGGCTTATACTATTACTAATCCTTCTACACTTTTATAGTGGAGTTACACCATCAGTAAACTTTTGCAGTTTTAGATATTTGTTTTATATTATTAGTAATGCTTTCATATTTTAACTATTTGACTTATACTGACTGTTTCCAACTTATGAAATGTTTATTACAGAGAAATACATACACATATATAAGGCCAGGCTACATTTTGACCCTCTACTTAGATCATCCTCAGGCATGAAAAAAAACAATAATTAGGTACATTAGAAAATACAAGATCAAAAGTATGTTCTAATCATGTGAAGCAAGAACAACAATAAAAGTAACTAACAATATTATTGACTTCCTAAAAATAGAATCACTGGAGGCAAGGTTATAATACTTAAAGTTTGGAGCTGAAGCAACATCAACAATAAAAGTAACCAACAATATTATTGACTTCCTAAAAATAGAATCACTGGAGGCAAGGTTATAATACCTAAAGTTTGGAGCTGAAGCAACACCAACAATAAAAGTAACCAACTATATTACTTATGTTGCTTCAGCTCCAAACTTTAGGTATTATAACCTTGCCTCCAGTGATTCTATTTTTAGGAAGTCCTAGTCCCAAGCAGGCCAGGTTTGTTGACAGGTAAGACAACAAGAAGAAGATGGAAGTTATCTGAGCAATTAAGTTTAGAGATCCCATTAGCAAAATCAGCTGTAAAGAATAAAACAACACAATTTTTCAAGTCTTGTCTAATATTTAATATTTTATTGTGACTCTTTACAAATGTCACAGCTATATTATTTTCAACTCAAACCAAAAATGTAGAAAAAGAAAGAAAAAATGCAACAATAAATTATTGTTGTTGGAACCACAAACGAATTATTAGAAAAATCATGAACATTTTTAAATCAGTGCACATTAGTTGATACATACACTTAAGTGCATATTAGTTGTTACATACATAAAATTTGAGACAAGATGTATCATATACATCAAAATTAGACAAGTCATCTTTCATCTGCTGATCGGAGAGAAAAATTGTCTACAATACTTTTGTTACTCCTCTATTTTAAATAAGTTATTCTTAAATCGCACAATTTTATATGTTTTAATTTTTTATCTGTATTTCCCCACATAATGGGATCAGAAGGAACAAGATATGGAGATATAAACCTAACATAAAAACATTTTCATAGAGCCATTTTCTTCTAATGTAAAATGAAATACAAAAAGTTAATGATTATCACTATGAATGCTAAACTAAGCGTATAGTAGTAGTATTTATGACTTTTATATTCTGTCAATAGGTAATTTGAATATTATTTAACACAAACACACATACAAGCTAAACAGGGATATAGAAATATGTAATTGTGTTTTATTCAACAAGATATTGTATAAATTTGGTAAATCATACCAGACAATGCCTGAAGATATGAAGAACATGCAAAAAGCCTAGTTCCCTTACAGAATTAAATAGCCTGATCTTTATGAAGCCTAGATCCCAAAATTGCTACTTATTTACACAAATTAGAGTAAATGGAAACTGTAAAGTTCACATGCACATCTTTGAATCCATGTACCTAAAAATCACATAATTACCAAAGCTACACTTTTCCAAGGCCATGCATATACTATAGAAACTAATGGACAGTACTAAAACTACAGTTCTACAAAGTCATGCTCAGTTATAGACATAAAGAGGGAATAACAAAGATAAACTTTTACAAGGTCATGCCCTATAACTGTCACTAAGGGGAATACTAATGGTACACTTCTCCAAGGTCATGAACCTGCTACATACAACAAGGGGGGAATACTAAAGCTACACTTGTACAAGGTCATGCTCTGTTATAGACACCAAGGGGGGAATACTAAAGCTACACTTTTACAAGGTCATGCTCTGTGATAGACACCAAGGGAGGAATACTAAAGCTACACTTCTACAAGGTCATGCTCTGTTATAGACACCAAGGGGGGAATACTAAAGCTACACTTTTACAAGGTCATGCTCTGTTATAGACACCAAGGGGGAGAATACTAAAGCTACATTTTTACAAGGTTATGCTCTGTTATAGACACCAAGAGGGGAATGCTAAAGCTACACTTTTACAAGGTTATGCTCTGCTATAGACCCTAAGGGAGAATAGTAAAGCTACACTTTTACAAGGTTATGCACCTGTTATGGACACTAAAAAGGAATATTAAAGCAAAGCAGCATTTTCCAAGGGTCATGCCATGTTACACACACCTGGTGAGAAAAAATAAACTCTGTGTAAATACTGTCTGTTTAATACCAAACAATAATGTGATTTCATTAATAATACCATCCATAAGTCAACTTCAGCAAACATTAAATGCCAACAAACCTCTACAAAAAACCATGCCATCAAAACAGCAGCAACTGGGTTTCCTCCTTGAGTAGTGTATTGTACAACAGGTCTCAAAACAGCACCTACATATTATAAAAATGCTGCACTGTTAAGAAATATAAAAAGCATATAAAGAACAGTTATTTTCATTGAATACAAAATGACTAAGTATCTGTAGCTAAAAATTATTGTTCTCATTCAGTTTTACATTAATTAAAGAGCAATTTTTTTCTCAAATCAGTGTTTCTTTAACTCTCTCACTATGGGGTCAGTTGATTTGAATGACCTCGCAACCATTTTGCACTCGTTATAGTTTCCATATTATAACTATTAAAACAGTATGTGTATCTTCACAAAATTTGGCAATTTTAGTAAACATTACAAGTCTTTTGTACATGAAAAGTCAGATTTATCTAATGAAGCATTTTTGCTCAAGATTTGTCCATGATTATATAGTCTTTTTTTTTACTAGTCTGAATGCAAAGTGATTTCAATGTTAAAATTAAAAATACTTTTCTTCATCTGAAAACTTAACATTTCATTTGTATAATCTCTAAAACCTCCTAGATATAATTTCAATTTTTTTTGTCAGTAAAACTATATTTTATCTGATATTTTCTCTACCCTAACTCTATTATGAGTCTATACAAGGTTGGTCAATTTAACTGACCTAGTAATCAGCAAAAAAAAATCTAAACTACCCTTTTTCCTTTTCATAATGAAATCAAATTGTAGCATAAAACTACATTCATTTATCTTAAGTAGCTTTAAACTCAAAGCAGCATACATCTATTTATACTTAAATTTTATTGTTTTATTGCCCTTTGAACCATATCTAACTACAATTCGTGCCATTATATGTTGTAAATCACTTGTCGAACATGAAGCTCACATACAGTATCGAATCACATTACACATGGACTACTCGTCAGCGTAACTTATGAACATTTTTTTACAATATTATTATTTATTTTACCAAATCTCATCTTAACCTAAAAAGTTTCTTATTTTTACATTTTCGTTACTTTTATAACAATTTGTTGTCGACTATTGATGACACATAACCCTACTTTTTTATACTAATGGTAGTACTGCACTAAATAATTTTTTATTCAATTAAATAATGCACCAAAGAACGCATAATAAGAAATTGCAAAAAGCAGACAACATCCCATAACTATCACACTTTTTATGGTTTTCAAACTATACAATAAGAGCTTTTTAAACTTCATTTAAGCTCGTTGATGTGTTTTCCATGGGAATCAAGCTTGAACGGAAAGTAAAATTGCCAGTTCTCTTTACAGAGAACAATGTAAAATAATATGTCAATTGATAGAGTAAAACCTTAGCTTTCTATATTGTTATAAATGATATAGTATTGAATGTCAAAGAACTATTGGCAATTTCTGAAAGAGAAGCTGTGACAGGTGGGCATGGCAAGTGGGGTCTGATTGTCCATTTCATGGCTCTGTAACCAAATAAGGTTGAAGGCTATCAAAATTATGCTTTGCCTGTGCAATGACAACATTATAATTAGTAATTTATGTTAAATTTCGTACTTCTAGGAGGGGTGGTAAATAAATCAGAGAAGAGGGGAATGATTATAGAGAAAACGTCACAATTCTCATAATTGGGGAAATTCAAGATTATTTTTAGTATTGCTTCATAAAATTAAGAACTTGAAACTTGTGTACTATTAAAATATGGATTATTAGCTATGTTTCTATGCTATATTTATTGGTATACCATGAAAAGCAAGCAGTTTGATTAAAGTTTGATTGTAACTCACTGAAACCTCATGACATGGGCAGAAAAAGATGTCCGTGGAGAGAGGGTTAACATTATTTGTATTTATATCCTGATTTTTTTTAAATCTATAATGCATTTACCTGATGTAATGACAATGCACTTCAAACAACCTTCCTGCTCCAAACTGCAGATTTCAGCTGGTAATGTTACTTAATGTCAGCTTCTATGCTTTCATATTACTCCAAAAACAATTTAAGCAACACAGAACACTGTATCTGTAGGGGCTAGTTTCTATTATAACTAAGTTGTAAAAGAAAGAGGAAGTTTTTTCATAAGGTAAGTAATATTAGTGTTTACATTTCAATGCACTTCTGTTGAATTACATCTGCACCAAAGATATAATTTCAAAGTCATATAAAATGCCAATTGGAACAACTAAATATTTTTGGAGGTTTGAGATTTTCTTGAATTCAATTAGCTAAAAATATACATGATGTTTTTTTAGTAAATATTTTAAGGTATAAAATACAATGATCTAAAAATTATATTGAGTGATTTATATGCAAGATACAAATAAAATCAAATTATTACAGAAGAACTGTGAAAATTGTTTTGCTGTTTTAGTTTGTGGCAACATAATAAAAGAAGAAAAAAATCCAAAACTGAATGTTTTCCTTTATCATTACTGAACTAAAATGCACTGGTAATTTACCTGAATAACTGTGTTTGAATTATTAAAACATCCTTAATGTATTTAGTATTTTTAAAATGGTGTTTTCTTGTACCATTTTTGATTGAAAACCTATCAGACAAAAGTTATAATTTTCCTACAATGAAAATGTATTTCTGATAGGTACTTCCCTCTTCTCACAAATTAGCTTATCATATCCATATCACTTTTGATCCAGGTATACTCTTCACTCAGTTGAGGAATGTGCAAAAATCAGGGCAAAAAATTAGAGGAGCACATCCTTGTGGAAGAGAAAGTGATCCTAACTGGAGAAAGATATTGTAACTCAATCCCACAATAAGAAAGTGGGTAAATGAGGATGTGTCCCATGGTGTAGAGTGGATAGGGTGCAGTAGACTGTACTTTGCAAATCAACTCCATCCAAAACCTCCTCACGGGGTACCAAAATCAGCATGAGGGTAGGATGAGAGTCATACTATCTTCACCTCATACCCAAGAACCGGGGATTTCTGAACTACTCTGATTCCTGGGCATTACACAGGATGAGCTCTGAACAATCAATCTGAAAATGTGACATCCAGTATCGAAAAAGGAAGACTATCACATGCAATCAACTCCTGTGACTGTGAAACAGGTTGAGACCATCTAAAGGGCAATAACATCCACGTAAGAAAAGAGAACAAGGGAGAGCCTAGGATAGAACTGGAAGAGTCCCACATATTTAAACTGTGACCCACAACACAAAAGGAGGAATCGAGGAAGGAAGATAGACAACCCAAAACCTGTGTGAGGACTTATGTTGATTGGTTCACTCAAAACCAAAACCAGCCTGCTGGATACTGACATTCATGCGAGGGTAGGAAGAGGGCTCCCAATCAAAGGGGTGAACTGCATTTTGACGTCTCACTCCATTGTATATTTAATGGCAAATCAGAAGATATTATGTCATCTACACCAGCAGAACACAACTGTCCTACTTTGAACTGAATGGTTACAGCCTTTTTAAGTGGAATCCATCTATGCAGGGTGCCTCCGTGGTCAACCACCCCATTGGCTTACAACTCGTAAGTAGTAAGGACTCTCATACTTCACTACAAGAAAGGAGGGTGAGAATGCATTGGAGAGCCCTGGGGAATGTTGACACTCGAGAAGTGCAATGGGTGATCATGAAACCCTATTTTGAAAAGTAGACCATACCAATTTATTCAACCAAAGCATCACAGGGATGGGCGGCTATAACCTTCTGCTTTACCCATGAAGTTCATGGGTGGTACAGTTCAGGACGGGCCAACTTATGAAGCAAATATTGTGAGGTTATTCATCTACAAGCAATCTTGTGAAACACCCTATCTCAAAGGTGAGCATGCAGAGCCATGAAATGAAAATACTATTCAACATGGGGAACAATGTGAATTTAAGAGTTAAAGAATGCCTCGTCAGGCACCACTTGCCAAAGAATGGGATCCAAGTAATGAAGGTATGAAGATTGGACTTCTGAAAGAAAATAAATGTTTAATAAAGACTTATCCAATGTCAGGAGTCACACCGAAGATTAGAGTAGAGCTACAGGTTTAAGGGGAAAACCCGAGGAAGCCAAAACCGCGATATGATGTAAATAATGGGAGATGAATGAGTTAGAGTTAGTCCACATGCCCAATTGTAGGATTTCCTCCATAGGTCCACGAAGACAAGAAGCAAGGAAAAGGTGAGGTGTCAGATCTGATGAGTACAAATTATGCTGGGAAGAGGACAAGGAGGACTGAGCCAACTGGACCAAACGATGAATCTAATTGGTAAGTTTCAAAGGGGTGAGATTCCTGGATAAAGAGATAGGAACTGGATCCACAAAAGGAAGCCGTGCGCACAATATAACAAGAGACAGGTGAAACAAAACACAAGGATATAGGTTTGATTGGAGGTAAAGTAAGGGAATGGAGGACTACATTAATATTCCAATCCAGAAGGGCAGGTTGCCGAATCTGGAAGGAACAGATTAACATGGTAAGGACAGGTGAGAAAAAAGTCCTGTGGTAATAGGAAAGGTGAAAGGTATAAGGGATAAAATTGCCTGATAACCTGAAATCAAGGAGACTGAAGACCCCCAGTTGAAAAGCCACATTAGAAACTTGAAGATACCAACAACAGTAGGGCATGCAGCTGGAAAATCCTGAGCCTGGGCCTATGAGTAAAAGACCTTCCACTTTTGCTGATTCACTTCCATGGAGGAAGGATGGACGGATTGGGCCAAATGAGAAGCTACACAACAGGAGAAACCAGATCTCCTTGCCAAGAACCAGACAAAAGCAATACATGAGGACATGAAGTGCGGGATGTAGAACCAATGATCGGGTTCGATGAAAGAGGTTGGGTGATAAGGGAAGTGGTACTGGAGAGAATAATTGTAGGTGGAGTAAATGAGGAAACCATGGTTGAGCTAGACAGTAGAGAGTAATCAGAAGGACCCAGCATGGAGTTGCATGGATCAGGGAACTACCCAATGAAGTAATTGGAGTAGGAATTTGTGTGCCCAGTCCTTGTTGAAAGCATCTATAGCCAAAGTCTAAGAAGGAGGAACTGGGGACCAAAATAGGGGTAACTGGTGATTGAGGGTGGTGGCAAAAGCAATGATGTGAGGACCCCCCCCTCCCCCAGACTGCAAAGCCAATGGAAAATGAGGGGATGAAGGGACCACTCCATTGGGTAAACCTTGTCAGGCAGGAAAGATGATCCGCCATGAAATTGAAAGCACCAGTACATGCCATGCAATTAAACGAATCTGTTGTGCATGGGGCCCAATATAGGGGATCCAATGTGTGAAAACAGAGGGATCTCAACTGGGTGCCACCTTGGTCATTGATATAAGCTATCAGCGTGAAATTGTTGGAATGGATCATTACCAGACAATGTTTGGCAATGGGAAGAAAGTAATCCAAAGCCCAACAAATGGCTAGGAGTTCTAGGAGGTTGATATGTAAAGTTTTTTCGTCTAGAGACCAATGACCCAAAGCCTTCTGGTGATTGAACCATGCACCCCAGCACTGAAGGGTGCATCCGTAAACAGATGTAAGTCCAGAGTCGGAAGAGGAAGCTGGACATCCACCAATGTGTGAGTCTTGTCCAAACACCAAAGGAAATCATCTACAAGGAAAAGAATAAGGGTGATGGGAGCATCCAAGGGATCTTGAGCAAGGTTCCATTGATCATGTAGAGTCTACTGAAGGGAGTGCATATGTGCATGGCTGAGGGAGATTAGTGGTGTTCTAGAAAACCACATCAATAAAAGAGACAGAAACCCACATGCAGAAAGTGAGGGAGCAGACATGGAATGGCAAACTGACAATTCCATAGAATGGAGTCTGAGAGAAGGTTGGGCCTGACTGAGCCAAATGTTGAAAAAAACACCCAAATGTACAAGGGATTGGGTCGGACTTCTCGAATTTGATCAACCAACTTACCTGAGCAGCTTCGAAAAGGAGCTGACGAGTATGACAGGCTGGCTCCTGTTTGTAATGGGCCAGAAGTAGCCAGTCTTCCATGTAAAAATGGAAATGCAGCCCCAAGGTATGAAGGTGAAGAGTAAATGTTCATACCACCCAACAGAAAACTTATGGAGCTGATGCCATCCTGTTAGGGTAGGGTGCGTAATTGGTATACCAACTCTCGATGGATAAACCGAAGATAAGGACGAGACCATTTTGAGATGGGAATATGCAAATAAGCATTGGAGACGTCCATCATGGTCATCCATAGACCTGGAGAAAACACCCACCAAACATTGAGGTAGGAATCCAGGTTGAAACATGAAGTGAATAAAGCAATTGAGGTGGGATAGATTAATTACAGGCCTCCAGTCCCAGGTCTTTTTGGGAACAACAAATAGAAGGGCATTAAAACCTTGGTGAATGATGTGGAACAGGTTGTATAGCCTGTTGGGCGAAGAGGTCCTGTATCACCTCTGTAGATGCTGGCAAATTACTGGATCCTGAGGAGAAAGGAAGAAAACATGAATCTGGGACAAGGGAGGTGGGGAAAGAAATGGAATTATGAAGCCCTCTGAGAAAACCTGAAGCACCCAAACATTAGAGATGAAAGGGCACCACTGATGAAGGAAGGCTGCAAGGCGAGCTCCCACCAGGTAGTCATTGGAACTATTGGTGGTGTATCATGCGTCATCGAGAAAAATGTTGAGCCATGGCACTGCAGGAAGGAGAGACAGGTAAAGGATAGGAAGGGGAAGGACGGAAAACTGAAATAGGCACCACATGTGGCACTGACTGAGATAAATGGGAAACTAAATAGGAAATGGTAGTGTTGCTGGGCAGATTCCACCAGAGACTAAGGATTCTGGGGCCATATCAAAGATGAAACATCTTAAAATGGAGCCATAAGCAAATCTCAGGTAATTGTGTACGAGATAATACAGCATCACGAACTAAATGGTCTCTACAACAAAGATAGCACGTATGTAAAGACAATAAATGAGCCAACTAGGGGGTAAAGAAAGAGAAGGCATCCCCAGACAACCTCTCAGGATTTCTGTGAAGAGCCTCTGACAAGAAATGGATCATGAAAAGTTACCACAAAAGGATCGTGATAGTAAGACGGAGGTCAGAAAATTGGTTATGGGTGAGAATGACGGGAGATTCAGGGCCTGCCCGCCCCACCTAAACAGGCAAAACCAAAACCAACAGCTGTTGGTTGAGATACGGGCAGTCTGCCCTATGAAATTTGAGGGCTGACTGATCCAAAGCCCATGGGGGGAAGAGGCATACTAACACCATCGCCCAACTGAGAGGCAAATGAACCTGAATGTCAGGGGAGGGGGGGAAGCACCAAATAGTGTTGGGAAGTATGTTCCTGCAATAACAAAGGACATGGGTCATAAGATATAGGAGCAAGGGATAAAACATCACATACCTGAGAAATAAAGACCAAAAAAACTATGAACGACTGAATAGAATCCTCAAGGAGGGTATGGAAAGGCACGGCAAAATCAGGAGGTAGAGGGGGGAAGCGGCAAATAGTGTTGGGAAGTATGTTCCTGCAATAACAAAGGACATGGGTCATAAGATATAGAAGCAAGGGATAAAACATCACATACCTGAGAAATAAAGTCCGAAAAAACTATGAATGACCAAATAGAATCCTCAAGGAGGGTATAGAAAGGCACTGCAAAATCGAGAGGTGGAAACAGGTGATCAAAGCCCTTGTCATCCTTACCAGGTTCCACAGGTTCAGGAGAAAGAGGGGCAATATCTGGAGATAAAGGTTGACCCATATAATGTTCAATTCCCATGCGAATAAACGTAGACAAATCTCCTATCGGGTTGCCAGTACCTGAAGCCTGTGATATAGCGCCTGTTGATTGTGTGACACCCTAAGTGGTGACATTAACTTCGGAATACATGGTGATGTAGTCGACAAAATCTTCTGAAGTAAATAAGAAATGCGACTGAAATAAGGGTAAGTGAAATGAAATAATGTAAAAAAATTGAGTATTCTAAATGAAATTAAACCACTTCGAGAAAATAAGGTCTCAAACACAAAACCAGACAAAAAAGATTTCCGAGTGCAAGCACTCGGAGTCCAAGTGATAGTTTGGCAACGCATGAGTGTACTATGATCCTATTGGTGGTTAGGTAACGCATGATGATTCGCATGAGACACACATTGGAATCATTTGATTCCAATAGGGAGGTGCAGAAGGCTTGTGGCATGCATAATAAAAAAGTTTGCATATAGAGGGCAGCAATAAACATAAATAGCTAATTTTGTGAGGGAAGTACCGTATTGGAAACTGAAATGCTAACACTTCATTTGCACCTTTTAATTTTAATCAAGATTTGATCACAACTCTCAATAGTAATTAAAATATTTTTTTATCTTGTCATTTATGTTAACAAAAGCACGAGTAACTTATTTTAAGAAAATATTCACACTGAAAAACTTCCATCAGGACACAATGATGACATTTGATATGAGCTCTTAAGAGTACAGACAGTATGTTGGTGACTAATATTTTACATGAAATACAAATCACAATTGTTTCCAAAAGACTATAACAATGTTTCATTAAAGTAGAAAGAAAAACAAAAACATAATTGAAGGTCATAATGATATTAACTTTAACAATAAAATCTAACCAAAAAGCTCATCTTTAGCAAGAGCCTCCAAAACTCTGGAAGAACCAATCAAATTGCTTAATGCTGCAGACAGGGTAGCAAAAACAATTCCAATAGCAACAAGGGGTGGTTGAAGGTTGATATACTGCATGTACAGGTAATTGTTTTTCAGCAGGAAGCTATAAAATGAAACAGATCATAGTTTACAGTTTTCTGAAAAAAAATTAAAAGATTGAAAATTGCAAGTTATTTATAATTAATATACAAATTAATATATCTTCATACGTCATAACTTCTCAAACAACCAATTTAACTGATGTTGTCTGTATAGAGCAGATTAAAAGAAGAAAAGTGCTGTGATCTAGTTGCTTCAAAAAAACATTATAATCATTGAATTTTCTATAATACTTGTATAAAAAATATGACAGAAAATCATTTAGAATGGTGGAGCCCTTCAAAATAAATGGTTGTAATTCTTATTGTTCACAAAATATATATGAATTACCTTTTGATCATTTCATTACTGTTTTGAATGAAATAAATAAATAAGGGCAAGTTTGGGTGGATGGCTGTTATCGTTATTGGACTCTTTAATGCTGAACAACAGATTCTATCATTATGCCTAAATTTTCTCCATACACAACATTACATACTACACATGGCAAAAATAAACTTTCACATACAGGAAGCTCCTGCTGATTTTTGTTACAAAGTTAAAGAAGTTCAAATAAAATATGATAATTACCAACTGTGCAATCTACAACAGAAGAAAAACTCTGCTTAAGTAAAAAAGGACAAAGACACTGCAATTATTCATTCATTACACTTAACAAAGAAATATTACGATCATAATAGTATGCACATTCTGTTAAAACATGAGCTATATTACTTGTAATATTGAAAAGGAAACTGACATAACTAACTTCACGTTAGCCATAACAAATGAAATCATAAAAACCACCACATCTTTACACAGAACATATTTCATAAAGATTTCAATTTATAAAAAAATATTTCAGCTGCAACTACCCATATTACATCACTGTGGTATGTTTTAACATCATTTCACTTTTCACAAAAGTTCTTGTTTTAAAGGCAAGCAGTATCATAGCTTCAAAATTAATCAATAATAACTATTTTAAACTAAAATCAATATATCTTTGGAATGTTTCATGAAACTTGTAGACTTCTGTCTAAAACCTAAATACTTCTAATGGAAGAACAAATATTACAAAATATCTGATGATAACCCCCCTTTCTTTCAGAAATCTACAATTAACAACTTGGGCATCAATGTCTTTGCAAAAATCACTGCTTTGGGACAGATATGTAAATAATGTTTTGCTTTATAGCATATTTTTGGGAAAACTTTAGATGTCTGTTTACAAAATACAACATGAATACTGTTTTTCATACATTCTAAACATTTCTACAATCTAAAGTAACAACTAATGCTAACTAAATTTTGCCAAAAAAACCCAACAAAGACTGGGGTTTATCTGTACCAAATAAACCTTCAAGTAGTGTGTGAGAAAACATTAGTTGCATTTTATTTAATTTATAATCCCATGCTCATTTAGGAGTTTAACTCTTTCTCTATTAGGTCAATCAATTCCAACAACCTCATAACCATTTTGTACTTTTTACAGTTTCCATACTATAACTTTTAATACACTTTGTGTATCTTCACAAAATTTTGCATACTTTTAGTAAACATTAAAAGACTATTGTTCATAAAAATTCAGATTTTTAATGAAGTATTTCTACTAAAGATTTATCTGTGAATGTATATAGTATTTCTATATACTAGTCCAGATGAAAGTGATTTGCATGTTAAGATTAAAAATACTATTCCTCATCTCAAAAGTTATTTGTGTAATCTCTAAAACCTCCTAAATAAATTTCAAATGTTTCTTTTCTGTAAAACTTTATATTTTATCTGTTACTTTCTCTACCCTAACCTTATACATGGTTGATCAATTTGACTGACTTTGCAACCACTAAATAAAAAACAAATCCTAAATTAACCTTTTTTCTTTCTAAAATACCTTCAAATTATAATATGAGACTACATTAGTTTATCCTATATAGCTTTACACTCATAACAGTACATATCTATTTGTACTTAAATTTTATTAGTTTATTGCCCTTTAAACCTGTCTAACTACTATTTGCATCATTATAAGTTGTAAAGCACTTGGCAAATGTGCAGCTCACACTACGCTATCAAATTACTTCATATTTTATATTTGTAGCTGGAGAGTAGGGGGGATAGGTGGCATTAATAACAGGAGATTCAGTCAAGATGTCTGTTATGAAATAACAATGTATCTCTGCATCAATGAGTTGTAAGAATGAATGAAATAAAGAGACTGGTCACAAAGTGAAACACAAAATGGCTAGCACTACTCACATGACTGGTCATTCTCATTCAAAGTAGCTTAAACTGTAACCTTGAGATATCACCTGAACTACCATTGAAAGAGATGCAGTATTGCAGCAACACCCCAAAGGTAGAACAGGTATTAGGTACTAGAGAATTAACAAAAGCAGGTAGAAAAAAATCAACTTAACAGCTTTCTCGACCATGTGTTATGTGAAAGCTGTTTATATGCAGTGCTATAAGGGTTACTCAGTTTTACCTAAATATACCACAATCTTACAATCACAAATAAGCTTGTTCACATTAAGAATGTTCATAGCATATTATAAATACTACACAAACTTTTCCAACTACTGTAGTTCTGTAAAATTAAAATGTTCTTTGTAAAGGAAGCTTAGTGTTTGTTAAATCTTATACTGCTGGTAAAGATAAACCACTACTTTCTATACATATCTTCTCCAACAATGACTGTAATCTATAAAACTAATATTTACACCCTCTACAAAAAATATTTTTGGATTCTTGATCACCCAATCAGCTAAGAAAAATGAACTTCACATTCATACTGAAAGAACTAATGGACATAAAAAAACATAAATCTTTCAAAGAACTACAGTTTATTGTTATGAATTATTATGAATATATTTTTCACTGTCAAAACATTTGGCTTCTAGCCACTTTTTGATGCTTAGTTAAGATATGTAAAGTATTCAATTATTTTTAATACAAATGTTTTGGGTGTAGTAAGATTTCATTTTTATCTGATCATTTAGTTAACACTTTTCATACAATTTCATGCTTAACTGCAGATTGATTTGTAGCAAAAATGATAGGTTTATTGAATTGTGAAGAATTGATGCAGCTTTTATCTAACTTTTTTTTTACCCTAAAAATTCTCAAAATAATACAAGTGAAAAAAAAAAAAATAAACTCCTCAAGTGTATAAATTTCAATGTTGCTCCTAAAGTTTTTCTTTCGTAAATTTTTCTTACTTTGAACAAGTAGCAGCAGTAAGGAATGCCATAATCAGATAAATCACAAAAGTGAATGCAGTTGCTGATAAGGTCCCACGTGGGATAGATTTACCAGGTTCTTTTAAATCTCCTGCAAAAGAAAAAGTTAAATCTATATAAATAAAAATATTATTTTTATTAGACTTTATAAAATATACTAAGAACTAACAAACTTGGTACAGTGAATTACCTATATGATAAAGTAAATACAGTTAGGGTAATTACGTGTTCATTTAACTCGCTCACTAAACATTACAAGTCTTTTGTACCCAAAATACCAGATTTCTTGATAAAGTATTTTTGCTAAAGATTCGTCCATGAAAATATATAGTATTTCTATATACTAATCAGAGTGCAAAGTGATTTTCAAGTAAAGGATTAAAAATAATTTTCTTTGTCTCAAAAATCTCAAATTTTACTTGCGTTATCTCTAACACCTCCTAAACAAAATTTATACTTTTTTCTCTAGAATACTTTATATTTTATCTGTTATTTTTTGTACCATATCTTTAAACAAAGTTGGTCAATTTGCCTGACCTCTTAAACACCAGTTAAAAAAAATAAAAAATAAATCTAAATTACCCTTTTTTACTTTCTAGAATGACTTCAAATTGTAATATAAGAGTATATTTCTTTATCCTATGTAGCTTTAAACTAATAACAGTAGACATATATTTATACTTAAATTCTATTGTTTTATTGCCCTTTGAACCCTAACTACTATTCATGCCATTACAAGTTGTAAATCACTTGGCAAACGTGTAGTTAACATTACATTATCAAATTACATTAAGCATGTGCTGCTCGTGAGCACACCCCATAAAGATTTTATTATATTATTATTGGTTTAACATAATCTAACCTTAGCTAACATAAAAACTTCCCCATTCTTACATTTTAATCACTTTTATAATAATAGATAAAGTATACACATGAAAAACATGGAAAAAAGTACTTACCTGGGTCTTCTCTTTTTTTTTGGTCGACTGTTGATGACACTTAACACTACTTTTTTTATACTAATAGTAGTACTTCACTAAATAGCTTTTTACTTAATTAAATAATGCATCAAAAAACATAGAATAATAACGTGCAAAAAGCAGACAATATCCCATAACACACTTTTTTTGGCATCATAACTATGCGACAAGAGCCATTAAAAATTCATCTAAGCTCATCAATGTGTTTCCCGAGGGAATCAAGCTTGAGCTGGTAACAAAATTGACAAATGTTTTTACAGGAAACAATGTAAAATAATAAATCATTCGATAAATGAAAACCTTGGCTTTCTATTCGTTATAAATAACATGGTATTGAACACCAGAGAGAAATATTGGCAATTTCTTAAAGAATATGTGTGTTTTCTTATAGCAGAGCTACATCAGGCTATCTGCTGTATCCACCCAGGGGAATTGAACCCCTGATTTTAGCATTGTAAATCCAAAGACCTGCCGCTGTTCCACCAGAGGACCTCTGAAAGAGAAGATGTGACAAGTGTGCACGGCAAGATGAGTCCAACTGTTTATTTCATGGTTCTGTAACCAAATAAGATTGCCGGCTATGAAAAGTATGCTTTGCCTGAGTGATGACAATGTTATAATGAGTAATTCACATTAAATTTTGTACTTCTTGGAGAGGTGGTAAATAAATTAGAGAAGAGGGGATGCAAATATCCCTATTCTCACACTAGGGGAAATTCTAGATTTTTTTTTATATTGTCTTATACAATTAAAAACATAAAACTTATATTAAAATATGGATTATTAGCTACATTTCTATGCTATATTTATTGGTATACTATGAAAAAAAAAAGAGATTTAATTAAAGTTTGAATGTAACTTACTAAAACCTCATCACATGTCCAAACAAATGCCCATGGAGAAAAGATTAAAATGTTTTTGTGCAACTGTATGCATGGTGAAATTCTACAGTGATTTATATTTCAGCAATATTTTGAGCCTTTACTCATATGGTAATGATTGCATCTACAGTTGAACGTTGGAAGGTCAAAAATCAAGGGGCTTTAGCAAATTATCTGTGATATCAGAGGGACAAGATAGCTGATCTTAGACTTTCATCTTGCTTAGTTTTAATGGATAATAAATGTACAGTATTAAATATAATACATGTTAGAGGAGATGTATTGGAAAGAATTCCAACAGAAATATCAGTTATGTATTTGAAATATCCTAGTACAGCTCCCCAATGTTCAATTGTAAATAAACCAAGTTCTATTCAGTGTACTCTGAAGGATTGAAATGGTTGCACAAAAAGCTTTTTATCCTCAAAGAAAGTTTCATGCCAAAACTGAGAACATATAGGGGGAATCAAAAAGTGCTGTCATCCGATAGCTACACCAAAAATAAGGTTGGACATCACCATGTGCTGCTAGAACTTTCTGTTTGATTATACAAAATATTCACAATGTAACCATACTTTTGACAACCAGAGATTACTTCAGCAAATAATTCTGACAGGGTAAGCTAACACTGTGTTAAGACATATCTTCACAAACTGAATTAATAGTCTTTACCATCCTAATAAACAAAGAATATTAACTGATTTCAAAAATAAATTTCATTCAGTAACTGATATGTATCATAGTAACCTTTAATCTGAAATTATTATTATTCTCCAAACATAATTTTCTTTATTTCAAATCCATCCTCTCTCATGTACTTACTGGATGTACAGGTTGTTTACTGTTGTTCTTACATGTGCTATGAATATTGATTGTCCTTATATAGAATAGAATCTCTCATGTACTTACTGGATCTACAGGTTGTTTACTGTTGTTCTTACATGTGCTATGAATATTGATTGTCATTATATAGAATAGAATCTCTCATGTACTTACTAGGTATATACATTATTTTCTGTTATTCTTACATGTACTAAAAATATACATTTTCTTCATTTAGAATAGAATCTCTCTTGCACTTACAACATGTACTGGCTGTGTTTTGTTATTCTTATATTTACTATGAATACAGACTGTCTTTGTTTAGAACAGAATTTCTCATGTATCTATTAAACAAACAGGTTGTTTTATAATCCAATATCTACTTTATAATTCTACACAAAAAGTAGTACACAGAGGAGAAACTCATAAAAGATTATATTATACAAACATTTTTACTTTCTGATCAAACTCAATCTGTTACATTTATTACTCAACTGCCAAAGTAATAGATCTGAAGATCTATTAAAATAAGTTATCTTTGGGAGTATGTTAGAGATGTAAATCAAATGTTGATAAGTAAATCAAAAAAGTTCACTTTTAATGGTGACAAATTATAAAGGTAGAATACTGTGCAAGAAGCAAAGGAGAATGATAGTTATATGTTTACATGATATCCTAGGTAATTATATTCAACCAAAACAGTTCAGGGTATTTTTTTGCTAAAAAATTACTGGGGTTCACTAGTGTTCATTCTATGCACTGTCATGATTTATTACAAAATGGTTCTTAAAACAATCTAAAAGTTGGAGCACTTACAATAAGTAGTGTATTTCTTACTTCTTTTTTTTTTTTATCAGAAGTGCAGACCACTGTTCCTAAGCTCCTTTTGGGTGATATTTTATTTTCATTAACATACACAGAATTAGCATAGTTCATGTAACTGCAGTTGAAATTTTAACAATTTTCAAGTACAAAAATACAGTAATATCAAGTGGGTACAACAAATACAATAATTTTTATCCAGCTTTCAAGCCAGGGTAAACCTTAGAATTCTAAACAGGGTTATATTAAAATTAATTTGAATATGAAAGTCAGCAAGTCATAACTACAATCAATATAAAATCACAGTGGAAGATAATATATCAAAACTATTAGGTCGTCAAGAAATGAATGTCACTTTTTTTAGATAAAAAAACCTAGAACAACATATATATATCAAAAC